TGATGAGACACTGAAAATCGAAACCAGCCCTTGCCCTACGAACATCTGGCAGTTCACCAGCATTGACTCAAGCAAGCCTGGCAGTGCTGATGAGACACTGAATGTCGAAATCGGTGCCGTTGCTGAACCAATTTACTTGTGGTGAACCAATTTTTTTTGCCACAAATACAAACGTCCCCGAACCGCCGTGCGATGGCTGATGCAACGCGCAAGCACAAAACCCCGCACTCTCGACGCCGAGGGAGGGGACGTGTGAACGAAAGGGGCCATCGTCTTCATTCTTTTTGACGTCGTTCCTTTTGCATTTCCACCAACGCCGGTCGCACGCGCGACGATCGCGTTGGGGGTGATTCCACGCGCAATGACCCCCCGCGTGAAACGGAAGGGGGACTCCACGGGGAACTATCCTCACGCGGCCCCCTGGGATCGCCGCAGAGAGGCGCGCAGCATGAACGTCTCTTTCTCTCTCTCGAGCGTCGCGCGAACGCGGCGCGATGCCGCCTCCTCGTGGTTGTTCGTGGGGGGTTCACTGCCAGAAACAACCCCCCCCCCGTACGTCCATAGTAGAGAATTGTTTGGGGTTTCGATTTCAAGCTTTCGTGACTGCAAGGATTCATCTTCTTTGGTGCTTTCGGTAAAGTCACCACGTAGAATGAGAATAAAATAGTAAACCAGCTTAAAAGACGCTACGAATCTTAAAAGACGCTACGAATCTTAACGAATCTTAACAACGTTCATTGTGAAGCTCTGTCGTCCCGACAGGTTTAGTTCCTTTCACCTGAAGAAGGCCACTTGCGTTGTGGCCGAAACGTCGTGAGAATTTTATTTGTGTTATTTTATTATTTTATTATCTTATTCTCATTCTACGTGGTGACTTTACCGAAAGAACCACAGAAGATGTTTGGGGTTTGATCGCATGAACAACATCGGTGTGCGTCGGCGAAGCTGCCACCGCTACGCGCCTCGTTGCATTTCGACGAGGTGGCGCTGTTGTGAGTGACATCTGAAAATGTGGCGTGCTAATTGATGAAGACAAAAAAAAACCTCGTCGCGTCATTGGCCTTCCCGTGAAAGTGATATTATAAACCTTACTCGTTGGCTGCGTCGGGCTGTGATGGCAGGCCACCACCACCACCACCGCTACGAGAATTGGCGTCATTAGTGAGCCCGTGTGAAGCTCAACTCTGCTCTCTGCCCGCGCAATCACCGCAATCAGAATATGTATTGAGAGCGGAGGAATCCGATGAGCTATGAAGCCCGCCACCACCACCCGACACAGCCAATGAGTAAGAGGTTTGTTGCGTAAACAAAAACGTGGCAAATTGGTTACGCGTTCAGCACTAAACCGGTTGTGTGTTGGAGGTTAAACCCACCGCAACATTTACAATTTGGGCTTACTCTCCAACACACAATCGGTTAGCGCTGAACTTGTAACGAAGCGCAACGTTTTGTTACCGTGACAAAGCTTACTAATTGACTCGGCAGGTTTAACGACGCATTCATATTTACGCGATCTAACCCAAAAACACCTCTATCATGGATTATATTGGTCGCGACCAAACTGACCCCCCCCCCCCCTCCAGTGCCGGATGATCCTCGGAGCAAAAGTAGCTATACATGTAGTAGCTACTACACATGTAGCTACTACTACACGTGTAGTAGCTACACGTGTAGTAGTAGCTATGGGCCCCGCACTTTCAAGGGCCCCGCGCTAAATGCTTCCAAGCTATCAATTCCGGTTCAGTGATTCTGCACTTGCTCTATTACTATAGTACTATACTGCCTTCAACTTTTCCGAACTACTGGGTGTTTAAAGTTAGCGATTTGTCGTCGTATTATCTGGCTGTATAGCAAATGAGAAAAATACAATTACTTTACTTTGCAAGTAAAAAAATGTGTGTTTTAATATTTACGTGTTTTTTTTATTTAGGGCTCTTTATAACACATGCTACAGGCCCCTCACTAGCTTAATCCGGCACTGCAACACCCCCCCCCCCCCCACCCCTTCTACGCCTTATCTTATAATGACACAGCGCCTTAGCTCGAGGTGCGATCGAAACGTCGTTTAAAAAGCGGTAACGAACGCGGAGAGATTTAGATGGCAGGTGGGGGAGGGTGCTGGCGGTGCGAGAACCGAGGGATGAGTGACCATAACAGAGGTCACTGTAGAGGTCACGAAAAGGATGCAGAGGAGGAGACGGAAAGGAAAGTGGAGGGATCATCGATCGACATAAGGCACTACAACTAGCATATGTGCAACGACAATCCGACTTTGTTGTGCTCCACTCTTCCCCGTGACCACACGAACGCGTTGAGCACGCGGTCAGGCGACGAGACGCGTCGTGGCGCGTCGACATAAAGACTCCGATTGCGGTCGGCGTGGGGAAAAGACGACTCCACATAGGCGGAGGTTGACTTCTATATCTGGGGGGGGGGGGGGGGTACGGGGGAGGGCGGAGGGGTTCGCTTTGACCTCACAGTAGGAATCGCGGGTGCATATAATAAATTAATTTATTGTTGTAAACTGCTGAAACTAAATGAACGTGACCAGTTTGGCAGGGGCGTTGTCCCCCATCCCCCTCTCCCTAACCACCCAAGGGGAGGAGGGCTGGGATGTTGTAACGAGAATTGGCGTCATGAGTGAGCCCGTGTGTAGCTCAGCTCCGCCCTCTACTCGCGCAATGACCGCAGTCAGAATATATATTGAGGGCGGAATAATCCGATGAGCTATGAAGCTCTTTTGCACACATGTCCAGTCGGGGCGACAACAATAAAGTCCAGGAGCTCGATGCCAGAGGGCTTCAGCAGAGAGAGAGAAAGTTCGTGTCGTGTCGCTGTTGCTCCTCCTCTGTTGAAGGAGTGCAGACTACCACAGTGTTTTTCCTGCGTGGTCCATAATTGTGGGTTGCATTGCTACAGTCGCTCCAGTGTGTCTTGTCTTCAATGTGTCTCTATGGGTCTCTATGGGTTCACTATATGGGTTGCATTGCCATAGTCGCGCCACTGTCTTGTCTTTAATGTATCTCTATCGGTCTCTATGGGTCTCTATGAGTCTCTATGGGTTCACTATATGGTTTGCATTGCTACAGTCGCTCCACTGTCTTGTCTTTAATGTATCTCTATGGGTCTCTATGGGTCTCTATGAGTCTCTATGGGTTCACTCTATGGGTTGCATTGCCACAGTCGCTCCACTGTGCCTTGTCTTTAATGTATCTCTATGGGTCTCTATGAGTCTCTATGGGTTCACTCTATGGGTTGCATTGCCACAGTCGCTCCACTGTGGCTTGTCTTTAATGTGTCTCTATGGGTCTCTATGAGTCTCTATGGGTTCACTCTATGGGTTGCATTGCCATAGTCGCTCCACTGTCTTGTCTTTAATGTATCTCTATGGGTCTCTATGAGTCTCTATGGATTCACTCTATGGGTTGCATTGCTACAGTCGCTCCAGTGTGTCTTGTCTTTAATGTGTCTCTATGGGTCTCTATGAGTCTCTATGGGTTCACTATATGGGTTGCATTGCCATAGTCGCGCCACTGTCTTGTCTTTAATGTATCTCTATCGGTCTCTATGGGTCTCTATGAGTCTCTATGGGTTCACTATATGGTTTGCATTGCTACAGTCGCTCCACTGTCTTGTCTTTAATGTATCTCTATGGGTCTCTATGAGTCTCTATGGGTTCACTCTATGGTTTGCATGGCCACAGTCGCGCCACTGTCATTTTCATTCATGTAATTTTCCATTCATGAAAGAGATGTGATCGAGTAACAAACACATTTCTTATACTCTTTGGTTCTTTCGGTAAAGTCACGTAGGTGGAAAAAAAAATACAAAACATAAAATAAAAAATAAAAATCAATCAATCACGCCGTTTCGATTGCAACACAAGCAATCATCATCAGGTGTGACAACCACAGCAAGCAATTTTTTTTACTGAAGTGGGAGAGAGACCAGGGTTAGGGCAGTTAAATAAGTCAGAGAGGGAGGGGGGCGTACACTACAAGAGCCGCAGAGACGCTGAGAGTAAAAAGGACAATATGATTACTGCCAAGATAGATGAATGACATCCAAAGCAAAATAGCCGCACTGCTAAACGCTGAGGATGAAATTAACTCGGTAAAATAGACTAGTACCCGGTAAATAAGATGGAACAACTATGAACAGTTTCGATTTAAAGCTTTCGTGACTGCAAGGATGCATCTTCTTTGGTTCTTTCGGTAAAGTCGTCACGTAGAATGAGAATAAAGTAATAAAATAACACAATAAAATTCTCACGACGTTTCGGCTCTGTCGTCCCGACAGTTCTGTACCTTTCACCTGAAGACGGCCGCTTGCGTTGTGGCCGAAACGTCGTGAGATATTTAATTGTGTTATTTTATTATTTTATTCTCATTCTACGTGACTTTACCGAAAGAATCAAAGAACTATGAACAGTTAAATTTTACTTGGTTAATAACACCTTTCCAATGATTGCTCCAATATAATTAGTGCTGTGAAAGGCCGTTGTCTACAACGTCGCCTCGTATATATGAACGATGAAGCCACACCGTTTTAATGACGAATGCGTAGCAGTGTTCACTGTTCACCATTTGGAATCGGTGGTTAATTTCACCCAGGACAGTCAAGAACGCTGTTCCGGCAATTACGTTGTCAACTCCACATCCATCTCGTCAAATCTGGCCTCAGTGTGTCCTATACCTGGCCATAGGGTTGCGGGAAAGCAGAGTCCAATAACTTTATTATTCTAGACATGCACGTCTCTATGTTGAATCTCTTTCGCACCGTACGTATCAAACCGTGCCAATCGTAATCCGAGTGACTGTTGATTCAATATATTGAGTTTTTTATATCATTCTCCAGGATAAAAACATACATTTCTCCAGGATAAACAATATATTTCTCCGGCATGAATAAAGATTGTGATTCTCATTGGTTGGAAATCAACGACGTGATTTGGAATCCAAGATTTTGGTACGTGTGCGTTTGGGGATTCGACTCCACAGAATCGATTCCTAGCAACTCCGATCCATAGGAATCGAAGAGGAGGTTAGTGAAATCGATTCCGCTCGGATCGACTCGCCCACCCAACCCACGCGTTACCCGCAATGGCTGCGCCCATGGATACCGACACGTGGGACCGGGACGAGGTGGAGGAGGTGGACGAGGAGGAGGCTGCGGGGCCGCCGCTGCGCGCCGTGGGCTGCGAGCAGCAGCCGCTCTCGCGACCCGACGGCTCGGCCTCCTTCACGCAAGGTGCGGGAACCCACCACCACCCCCAGACCCCCAGTCTGTAACAGACTGCTGGGGCAAGTGCTGTTATCGAGCAGCTATGAAGGCCGGCACGGCACACGAGAGGGTGGGTGGCCAGCACCACGCCCGACCGCCTTTGTCTCCCCAGTTACGTTGTTTACACACCCCACCAGGTACCCATTTGAGGCTGAATCGACCTAGGGGAGGCCCAGGACCGGTTCAGGTAATCGTCACTGCTGGTGTTGGCCGTGAGCGGGAATCGAACTCGAGTCGCCGGGGTCGTAGCGCAGCGCGCTAACCGCTGCACCACCGCTCCTCCACCCCACCTTCCCATGCACCCATCGCCCACCGCCACGATCGGCCTCTCGCGGTTGGGTGGCATTATAAACACATCGCTCTCGTGTCGGCATAAACGTCACATGCCCACAGGCTCGCATAGGGACCCATAGATTCACACAGAGACCCAGCGGCTTACAGAGACCCGTAGACTCGCGGGCCAACTGACTCCCGTAGAGATCCGTTAGGATATCGATGTTTCTCTCCGCGCGTGAGTCTACGTGTCTCCAGCTTGAGTCTACCAGGGACGTGCAGACAGGGGAGGCAGAGCCTCGCCTCTCATACTCCCAATGAAAATAGCTGTTACGAAAAGTAAAAAAAAAAGAATAATCAAATAAAATAAATATTAAGATTTTTCCACTGATCTGTTATAAATGTCATTTCTGTACGATTCCAATCATTTTTATAGTCACAAGTCGCCAAATTTGCGGAGCTCCGCTGCAAATACAGGAAGAGACGAGAGGTGAGGCAGCGACGAGCTCAGCCTCCCCTGTGATTGCGCAACCCCTCAGTAACTGGATGGAGCGCGGGCAATAAGCGCGTGCCTGTTACTGTCTCTGTTTGTCACCAATGTAATGTTTGTAGACCCCTTCGTTTCATGTCCTCGCCTTCCATACTCTAGGTAACTTTCTAGATATGAAGTTTTCGTGACTGCAGGGATCCATACTCTTTGGTTCCCTTGGTAAATTCACGTGGGTAGAAAATAAAATAAATCACGCCTTTTCGGAAGCAACACAAGCGTCCGTCATCGGGTAACTTATTTCACGTACGTGTATAAAGATATTTAGGCTCGCTGGTCTCGTCGTGAAACTGCAATGAGCACCAGGGGAGGCGGCTATCACATCTGCCTCACTGAGGGGGGGACGTGTCTAACACGCCCCCCCTCAGTGAGGCCACGCCCCCTCAGTGAGGACACGCCCCCTCAGTGAGGACACGCCCCCCCCCTCTGAGGCCACACACCCCTCAGCGTGTGAATCTGGCTGTGACACCAGCCATTGATCTCACCGCATGTCACTGGAGTCTGCGCGTCTCCACGAGGGTCTCTGCGAGGGTCTACGCGTCTCCACGAGGGTCTCCGCGAGGGTCTACCCGTCTCCGCGTCTCTCATTGTGTGAGTCTGCGCCTCTCATTCGTTTGCCGTGCCACAGGTGACACGGCGGTGCTGGCCGCGGTCTACGGCCCGGCCGAAGTGCGCGTGAGCCGGGAGCAGTCGGACCGCGCCACGCTCGAGGTGATCCTCAAGCCCAAGACCGGCCTCCCCGGTGATTCCCCCTCCATCCGCCGACTCACCCCCAGGCACTGTCGTGCACCCTCCGTGACCGGTGACGGACTAAGCTAGTGCGGGGTCTATTATATTATGTTATAACGGGGCCCTAGATTGAATAGTACATTTTTCAAACGAAATTTTTTACTTGCACAGTAAAGCAATTGTATTTTTTTATTTGCTATACGGCCAGATGATACGACAAATCGCTAACCTTAAACGCCCAGTCGCTCATTAAATCTGAAGGCGGTATAGTACTATAGTAATAGAGCAAGTGCAGAATCACTGAACCGGAATTGATAGCTTAAAAGCGTTTAGCGCGGGGTTCTTGAAAGCACGGTGGCCCGTAGCTACTACACATGTAGCTACTACACATGTAGCTACTACTACACATGTAGCTACTACTACACATGTAGCTACTACTACACATGTAGCTACTACACATGTTGCTACTACACATGTAGCTACTACTACACAAGTAGCTACTACACGTGTAGCTACTACTACACATGTAGCTACTACTACACATGTAGCTACTACACATGTAGCTACTACACATGTAGCTACTACACGTGTAGCTACTACACGTGTAGCTACTACACATGTAGCTACTACATATGTAGCTACTACTACACATGTAGCTACTACACATGTAGCTACTACACGTGTAGCTACTACACGTGTAGCTACTACACATGTAGCTACTACACATGTAGCTACTACACATGTAACTACACATGTAGCTACTACTACACATGTAGCTACTACACATGTAGCTACTACACATGTAGCTACTACACATGTAGCTACTACACGTGTAGCTACTACACGTGTAGCTACTACTACACATGTAGCTACACATGTAGCTACTACACATGTAGCTACTACACATGTAGCTACTACACATGTAGCTACTACACATGTAGCTACTACACATGTAGCTACTACACATGTAGCTACTACTACACATGTAGCTACTACACATGTAGCTACTACACATGTAGCTACTACACATGTCGCTACTTTTGCTACGAGGATCATCGGGCACTGCCCGTGAGCCTGCCCTGACAGTTGACCCCAGCGTGTGGGGCCCGACCACCCGGGTTGGAGTTCTGCTCGCGGCCAAGATTGGCTGGGAACATTCCCCACCTGATGGGTCACTTTTTGTTGAGCTGTCATTTGTGAGAGCGAAGGACTCTTCTGGAAAATAATTGAATAGCTCAGTGAGCTTTACCTGGTAAGATTAAATTATTTATAGTTACGTATTATTTGTATATAATTGTACGTGATTTGCTTACCTCTCCTATACGATCCACTTGTAAATTTTGTTTGTTGAAACGCTCCGACCCCGTGCCCCCGACTGGACGTCTGTGAAAAAAGAGCTTTATAGCTCATCGGAATTCCTCCTGCAGTGTAAACAACATTGATTGTGAGCCCAAAGCAGAGGCCCTCGCTCACCCTGACCTCGACCGTCGCCGAGAGCGACGCTCACTGACCCAGAGCTGTCCCCTGACCCGCCCCTGGTCCACCTTGCTCCTGTATCGAACATCACGCCACCCTGTCTGTGGACCCTGAACCTGAAAGCCCAACCCCACCTGGACCCTTACTCTGACCGCAACCCTAACCGTGACCCTGTGTGTGCGTGTGTCTGTGTGTGCGTGCTCACAAATCCTTGAAATTATCTGGGCAAGGTCCCATCAGTGAGCTCCTCCGGCAGGCAAGGCTGCGTTGGCTGGGTCATGTAGCCCGCATGCCCAGCCACCGCATACCGAAACAGTTTTTGTTCGGCCAGATCGAGGGGGCTAAGCAGGCGCGGCACGGGCTAGAGAAGAGATGGAGTGATGTGGTACAGGGGGATGTGGAGCTGAGTGGACTTGCCGATGACTGGTACCAGCGGTGTCAAGATCGGCCTCTGTGGAGGAGGCTCGTGAATGACGCTACTGGGCAGTTGGAGGCAGTCGCCCTCCAACAACAACGGAGGGCGGAGGAGCGACGCTCACAACAACGAGCGGAGCGCCGGGTGGCTAAAGCAGAGCAGGTTGGCACAGTAGGGGGCACAGGTGGTGCATCAGCCAGTCATCTCGGTCAGTCGACCCGTGGCACCTGGGTCTGCCCCGTGACCTCCTGCCGGCGGGCGTTCGACACTTCACGTGGCCTCAACGTGCACATAGCCTGGCACAAGCGTCGTGGTGACGTCACCGCCGCTTAGTGGCGAATGGCGGTTGTTGTTGTTGCGTGTGTCTGTGTGTGTATGTTTGCGTGTATGTGTGTACGTGCGCGTGAGTGTGCGTATACGCTCGTGCGTGCCCGTGCGTGCGTGTGTGCCCGTGTGTGTGTGTGCCCGTGTGTGTGTGTGTGTATCTGTGTGTGTGTGTGTGTGCCCGTGCGTGCATGTGTGTGTGTGCCCGTGCGTGTGTGTGTGTGTGTGTGCCCGTGCGTGCGTGCGTGTGTGTGTGTCTGTGCGTGTGTGCGTGTGCCCGTGCGTGTGCCCGTGCGTGCGTGTGTGTGTGTCTGTGTGTGTGTGTGTGTGTCTGTGTGTGTGTGTGCGTGTGTGTGTGTGTCCGTGTGTGTGTGTCTGTGTGTGTGTGTGTATCTGTGTGTGTGTGTGTCTGTGTGTGTGTGTGTGTGTCTGTGTGTGTGTGTGTGCCCGTGTGTGTCTGTGTGTGTGTGTGTGTCTGTGTGTGTGTGTGTCTGTGTGTGTGTGTGTGTTTGTGTGTGTGTGTGTGTCTGTGCGTGTCTGTGTGTCTGTGTGTGTGTGTGTGCCCGTGCGTGTGTGTGTGTCTGTGTGTGTCTGTGTGTGTGTGTGTGTATCTGTGTGTGTGTGTGCCCGTGCGTGCGTTGCGCGCAGGCGTGCTGGAGAAGAGCCAGGAGCAGTTTGTGCGCGGCGTGCTGGAGGCGACGCTGCTGTCCTCACTGCACCCGCGCACCTCCATCACGCTCGTCCTGCAGGTGGTGCACGACGCCGGCGCCGTATCCTCGCTCACCACGCCGATCTGGCGAGGTGCTCGGGGGGTGAAGGGTCGCGCCGGGTTTTAGCGTGGTGGGAGCGGGTGGGAGCGGCACGATCGTCGCGCCCGGCCGGCGGCCTCCCGTACCCACTTTGGAGGCCAAGACCCCCGGAGACGCACCGCGGCAGCCGCCCGCCGGCAGGGGGGCGGCTGTTTGTGACGCGGGGGGGGGCGGCTGTTTGTGCCGGGGGGGGGGGGGCTGTTTGTGACGCGGCGGGGTGGGGCGCGAGATGCGAGTGGCTAAGCGCTCCGAGACACCGCCGCTGTCAGACACACAGCTCCTCCGCTACCCCCACCTCTACCACCTCCTCGTCCAACTACTCCTCATCTACCTCCTCCTGCACCACCTCCTCATCTTCATGCTCCTCGCTGTCATCCCGACCCCCCTAACCGTCACCATGACCCCCGACGCCATCCTCCCTCCCCACGTCATCCCGTCTTGAGCCCCCCCACCGTGCCCCCCCCCCACCGTGCCCCCCCCACCGTGCCCCCCCCCACCGTGCCCCCCCCCCACCGTGCCCCCCCCCGCCTTCCTTGACGCCTGCACGTCAGCTGCTGGCGTGCTGCGTGAGTGCCGCCTGCATGGCGCTGGCCGACGCGGGGCTCGCGCTCCGCTGCCTCTTCTGCGGCGTGGCCTGCGCCATCGCACGCGACGGCACCATCGGCCTCGACCCCGACGCTAGGGCAGAGAAGGTGAGGAGGTCACCGGGGGGTCGCGAACCCCGGCCAGGCCGCCCCGGGCGCCCGGCGGGGACGGCGGCGGTGGTGGCGGCTACGCGGCCTCATTCAGTCGCGGCTGGGTGAGGCCACGGCTGAGTGAGGCCGCGGCTGAGTGAGGCCGTGAGGCCGCGGCTGACCGAGGCCGCGGCTGACCGAGGCCGCGGCTGAGTGAGGCCGCGGCTGAGTGAGGCCGTGGCTGGGTGAGGCCGTGGCTGGGCGAGGCCGCGGCTGACCGAGGCCGTGGCTGGGTGAGGCCGCGACTGGGCGAGGCCGCGGCTGGGTGAGGCCGTGGCTGAGTGAGGCCGTGGCTGGGGGAGGCCGTGGCTGGGCGAGGCCGCGGCTGACCGAGGCCGTGGCTGGGTGAGGCCGCGACTGGGCGAGGCCGCGGCTGGGTGAGGCCGTGGCTGAGTGAGGCCGTGGCTGGGCGAGGCCGTGGCTGAGTGAGGCCGTGGCTGGGCGAGGCCGCGGCTGACCGAGGCCGTGGCTGGGTGAAGCCGCGACTGAGCGAGGCCGCGGCTGAGTGAGGCCGCAGCTGGGTGAGGCCGCGACTGAGTGAGGCCGCGGCTGGTTGAGGACGCGACTGCGTGAGGCCGTGGCTGAGTGAGGCCGTGGCTGAGTGAGGCCGTGGCTGGGCGAGGCCGTGGCTGGGCGAGGCCGTGGCTGGGTGAGGCCGTGGCTGAGTGAGGCCGTGGCTGGGCGAGGCCGTGGCTGGGTGAGGCCGTGGCTGAGTGAGGCCGTGGCTGGGCGAGGCCGTGGCTGGGTGAGGCCGTGGCTGAGTGAGGCCGTGGCTGGGCGAGGCCGCGGCTGACCGAGGCCCTGGCTGGGTGAGGCCGCGACTGAGTGAGGCCGCGGCTGGGTGAGGCCGCGACTGAGTGAGGCCGCGGCTGGGTGAGGCCGCGGCTGGGTGAGGCCGTGGCTGAGTGAGGCCGCGGCTGACCGAGGCCGTGGCTGAGTGAGGCCGCGGCTGACCGAGGCCGTGGCTGGGCGAGGCCGCGTGCGAGCCAGACTGTTGGCTCACTCCGCGTGGCCGCCCTCTCCGCAGGAGGGCCGAGCGCTCGTCACGCTCGCCCTGGACAGCAGCGGCAAGAACGTCCTGGCATCGTCCACCAAGGGGCGACTCGACGCCACCGAGGTAGCCACACTCACCCTCGCCACATGAACGTGGAATTACCACCACCGGCTCGGTGGACGAGTGTCGCACCCCCCCCCCCCCCCCCCCCATCGTATGCAGCTGCAGGGTGCTGGGCTTTCTCCGCGTCTTCCGGTTTTTTCCCTCTCCACATTCGGAATCGACGTCACACATTCAGAGTGTTCGGCTGCAGTGAATTTCCACGTGGTGACGATAAAGCCCCTTCCTTCGGCGATCGTTTGTGGTGGCCAGGTCGCCTCTGACAAAGAGCCACGTAGCCGAGTGAGGCCTTACCTGGTAAAATAAAATATCGTTTAGTTAATTAAACGGCAAGTTGCTGCCTGTGTAGAGACTGTGATCTGATGATCGATGATTTCTGCCCCCCCCCCCTCCCCCGCACCCCAGTATCAGCGCTGCTTGGCGCTCAGCCGGGAGGCATCCACCAAAGTTTTTGAGTTTTACCGCGACTCCATCAGCAGGCGCTACTCCAAGTGCTGAAGACCGACGCGCGGAGACGCGGAAACGTGGAGACACGGAGACACGGACACGTGGAGACACGGAGACACGGACACGCGGAGACACGGAGACATGGACGCACGGAGACACGGACACGCGGAGACACGTACACGCAGAGACACGGACGCGCGGAGACGCGGAGACGCGGACACCCGGACACCCGGACACGCGGACACCCGGACACCCGGACACCCGGACACGCGGACACCCGGACACCCGGACACGCGGAGATGCGGAGACGCCGCCGGCAGTTGAACGGAGAACGGCTGTGGCGGCTGTTCCGTAACTCTAGCCGCGCGGTCAGACGCGCTGACCTGAACGCGCGACGCCGGCCGGATCACTGAACGTTTGTGTGTCGATGTTTTTTTTATATATTTGTTGAGGAAAGCGGCGGCGGCGGACTGCCATGTTTTGCAAGAGGCGTTTTAATAAATGACTTGTTGTTAATAAATGACTTGTTGAAAATGATTGTAGCGGTCGCCGGGGTTTTAGTTCTTCGTAGGCGAGAGGTGGAATTTCAAACCAGGAATCTGGGGGGGGGGGCTTTGTGTAACTACATCGCCTGGTGTACAGGAGGTCGTGGGTTCGAACCCGGCCCTGACGCCTGCTGTATATTTGGAGTTTGCGTGCTCGCGCTTTCTCCCCGTGGTTGCGTGGATTTCTCTCCGGGCCCTCCGGTTTTCCCTCGACATTTAGAGTCGCCATGCGTTTAGCAGTATTTGGCTGCAATACGTATCCACGTGATGATGATGAAGCCCCTTTTTTGGGGCTATCTTTTGTGATGGCCACGGCGCTTCCGGTAAAGAGCCACACAGCTCAGTGGGACCTTACCTGGTAAAAATGTAAACGAATAATTCGGGCCCTACACCAACACGGAACAATGTAGTCCATGTATGGCATCAAGTGATACAATTTCCGTGGTAAAATACTCCAGGTATGGGCACAGTCCCCCCCCCCCTTTTCCTCACCTTGGATCTAGCACGAACGCCAACAATTGCCTAAGCTATGTGGTCCTACATGAGGACGTTTGGCCAACTCCCATTGACGAGTTGTTGATACGTGTGTGTGTGTGTGTAATCGAGAGAGAGCGCCCTACGTGTGCCCGGGTTGTGGGCTGGTCTGATGTAGCGTGGGCTGGTGTGGGTGATGTGGGTGGTGTGGGCTGGTGTGGGTGGTGTGTGGTGGTGTGGGTGGTGTGGTTGGTGTGTGGTGGTGTGAGCTGGTGTGTGGTGTGGGTGGTGTGGTGGTGTGTGGTGTGGGTGGTGTAGGGTGGTGTGGGTGGTGTGTGGTGGTGTTGGCTGGTGTGTGGTGTGGGTGGTGTGGTGGTGTGGGTTGTTTATTTAATCCCCGGCTAATAGCCCAAGCCCGCGGCCCTCGCGGTGCCCGCTGCCGACAGCGCTGCCCGAGCCATGGGGTTGGTTCTTGTGGCCGGGACCGCAGCTGGCGCCGTGCTGCGCGCCACTCGTTCTGAGAGCCCACGCGGGTTTTAAGAGGGGGGGGCTGTGCGGCCAGCCAGAACTTCCCCGTCGCCTCCGTGCCCCCCCCCCCCCGATTAAGCAAGCCCCGCATCTGCTCCCAGTTTAGCTCCACGTGCTTTATTATTTTTTTTAAATTTGCCGTGAAAGTGAAACGCGAGCGTCACGTTGCTGTGGCCCGCTGTTGCGTGTGTGCGTGTCAGCCTCCAATGAGTAGCTGGTGCCGTGTGTGTGTGTTTGTGTAAACATCCCCACGAGGGAGACAAAGGCGGCCGGGCGTGATGCCGGCCACCCACCCCCTCGTGCCTTCATAGGTGCCCGATAACAGCACTTGTCCCAACAGTCTTGTTAGGGTCTTGATTTGAAGCTTTCGTGACTCCATACTCTTTGGTTCTTTCGATAAAGTCACGGAGTTAGAAATGAAATCAAACCAAACACGTCTGTTGGGGCTATACGGGGCAATCTTCGTGTGAGTCTATGCGGGTTGCATGGGGAGCGGTGGTGTAGTGGTTAGCGCTACGCTGCGCCGTGAACCTGGCCAACCGAGTTCGATTCCCGCTCACGGCCAACGCCGGTGATTGCGCTTATCTGAACCGGTCCCGGACTTCCCTTTAGGTCGACTCGGCCTCAAATGAGTAGCTGGTGCGGTGTGTAAATATCGCCACTAGGGAGACAAAGGCGGTCGGGCGTGGAGCTGGCCACCCACCCTCTCATGTGTGTAGTGTGTGTGTACGGTGGGTGTGTGTGTGGTGTGTGTGTGTGTGTGATGTGTGTGTGTGGTGTGTGATGTGTGTGTGTGGTGTGTGTGTGGTGTGTGTGGGGGGGGTGTGTGGGGGGTGTGTGGGGTGGGTGGGTGTGTGTGTGTGTGTGTGGGGTGTGTGTGTGCGTGGGGTGCGTGTGGGGGGTGTGTGTGTGTGGGGTGTGTGTGTGGGGTGTGTGTGTGGGGTGTGTGTGTGTGGGGTGTGTGTTGGGGGGGGTGTAGCGGTTAGCGCGCTGCGCTATGAACCTGGCGACCCGGGTTCGATTCCCGCTCACGGCCAACACCAGTGACGATTATCTGAACCGGTCCCGGGCCTCCCCTAGGTCGACTTAGCCTCAAATGAGTACCTGGTGCGGTGTGTAAACATTGCCACTATGGAGACAAAGGCGGTCGGGCGTGGTGCTGGCCACCCACGCCCTCGTGTACCGTTCCGGCCTTCAAAGGTGCTCGCTAACAGCACTTGTCCCTACAGTCTGTTAGGGCTATATGGGGAATCTTTATCTTTGTGTGTGGCGTTGTTATCGTGGTGCGATGTTCGGTTTCGGAGACGTCGTCGAGCAGAAATAAGGCAGAGATAAAGACAAAGATCCCCCGGTAGAGTCTTAACAGACTGTAAGGGCAAGTGCTGTTAGCGAGCACCTATGAAGACCGGAACGGTACACGAGGGGGTGGGAGGCCAGCACCACGCCCGACCGCCTTTGTCTCCCTAGTGGCGATATTTACACACCGCACCAGGTACTCGTTTGAGGCTGAGTCGACCGAGGGGAGGCCCAGGAACGGTTCAGATAATGGTAACCGGTGTCGCCGGGTTCATAGCGCAGCGCTAACCGCTACACTATCGCACACACACACACCCCACACACACACCCCACACATACCCCACACACACCCCACACACACACCCCACACACACACCCCACACACGCACCCCACACACGCACCCCACACACACCCCACACACACCACACACCCCACACACACCCCACACACACCACACACACCCCACACACACACCACACACCCCACACACACACACCCCACACACACACACACCCCACACACCCCACACACACACACCCCACACACTCCACACACACACCACACACACGCACCCCACACACGCACCCCACGCACACACACGCACCCCACACACACACCCCACACACACGCGCCCCACACACACGCACCCCACACACACCCCACACACACACCCCACACACGCACCCCACACACGCACCCGACACACCCCACACACACCCCACACACCCCACACACACACACACCACACACCCCACACACACACACCCCACACACACACGCCCCACACACGAACCCCACACACACACCCCACACACACACACCCCACACACACACGCACACACACCACACACACACCCTACACACACACACCCCACACACCCCACACACACACACCCCACACACCCCACACACACACACCCCACACACCCCACACACACACACACACCACACACGCCCCACACACACACACACACCACACACACGCCCCACACACGCACCCCACACACCCCACACACACACACCCCACACACACACGCACACACACACCACACACAAACACCCCACACACACACAAACACCCCACACACACCCCACACACACCCCATACACACACACACCACACACACACCCCACACACACACCCCACACACACACACCCCACACACACGCACCCCACACACACGCACCCCACACACACACAAACACCCCACACAACAACTAAAACGCGTCAACGGAGAGCGATACGCGAGCCGCTCGCAATTACAAGTGGAGCTTCTCACAAAGAACCCACACACAGCTCGGCGTCGAATGGAGATTTTTTTTTATTTTTAGACGGCAGAGGAGCCAAGGGGCATTTTCGGAGAGGCGGGAGTTTGGGTGGGGGGAGCAATAACAGAAAATGATTTAGAGGGGGGCATGGGGGTAGAAAATGCGAGCGTGGTTTATTATTATTATTTTTGTCGTCCGTTACAGCATCGGTCCCAAACCTTTTTGGTACCAGGGACCGGTTTCGTGGAAGACAATTTTTTTCACGGACCGGGGGGGTGGGGGTGTTCATCATTGGGTCTTTCCCCCTTTTCAAAGAAGCTCTCCAGCTACGTTTGTTTATTTACTCATCGTGGCTACTAGGGGTTAGAGCTTGTGGGCTTACTCATTGTGGTTACTAGGGGTTAGCTTGTGGGCTTACTCATTGTGGCTACTAGGGGTTAGAGCTTGTGGCCTTACTCATTGTGGCTACTAGGGGTTAGAGCTTGTGGGCTTACTCATTGTGGCTACTAGGGGTTAGAGCTTGTGGGCTTACTCATTGTGGCTACTAGGGGTTAGAGCTTGTGGGCTTACTCATTGTGGTTACTAGGGGTTAGAGCTTGTGGGCTTACTCATTGTGGCTACTAGGGGTTAGATCTTGTGGACTTACTCATTGCGGCTACTAGGGGTTAGAGCTTGTGGGCTTACTCATTGTGGCTACTAGGGGCTAGAGCTTGTGGGCTTACTCATGTAGGCTACTAGGGGTTAGAGCTTGTGGGCTTACTCATGTAGGCTACTAGGGGTTAGAGCTTGTGGACTTACTCATTGTGGCTACTAGGGGTTAGAGCTTGTGGGCTTACTCATTGTGGCTACTAGGGGTTAGATCTTGTGGACTTATTGTGGTTACTAGGGGTCAGCTTGTGGGCTTACTCATTGTGGCTACTAGGGGTTAGAGCTTGTGGGCTTACTCATTGTGGCTACTATGGGTTAGAGCTTGTGGGCTTACTCATTGTGGCTACTAGGGGTTAGAGCTTGTGGACTTACTCATTGTGGCTACTAGGGGTTAGAGCTTGTGGGCTTACTCATTGTGGTTACTAGGGTTAAAGCGTGTGGGCTTACTCATTGTGGTTACTAGGGTTAGAGCTTGTGGGCTTACTCATTGTGGTTACTAGGGGTAGAGCTTGTGGGCTTACTCATTGCGGCTACTAGGGGTTAGAGCTTGTGGGCTTACTCATTGTGGTTACTAGGGTTAGAGCTTGTGGGCTTACTCATTGTGGCTACTAGGGGTTAGATCTTGTGGGCTTACTCATTGTGGTTACTAGGGGTTAGAGCTTGTGGGCTTACTCATTGTGGCTACTAGGGGTTACCTTGTGGACTTACTCATTGTGGCAACTAGGGGTTAGAGCTTGTGGGCTTACTCATTGTGGATACTAGGGGTTAGAGCTTGTG